ACACTTCGCCATCTTCTGCCGATCATCATCATCATCATCATCATCATCATCATCATCATCATCATCATCATCATCATCATCATCATCATCATCATCAGCATCATCATCATCATCATCACCACCATCACCACCATCATCGTCACGTTCATTATCATAGTCACGCTCATCATCATCCTCGTCATCATCATCAGAACCAGCATCATTATCATCACCATCAGCATCAGTATCATCAGCACCACCACCATCATCATCATCATCATCATCATCATCATCATCATCATCATCATCATCATCATCATCGTCATCATCATCATCATCATCATCATCAGCATCAGCATCGTCATCATCATCATTATCATCATCAGCATCATCAGCATCATCATCGTCAGCAGCCTCATCATCAGCAACATCAGCATCAGCATCAGCAGCAGCAACAGCGTCAACATCATCATCAGCAGCATCATCATCATAATCAGCATCAACATCATCATCATCATCATCATCATCATCATCATCATCATCATCATCATTCGCATCATCATCAATATCATCATCAACAGCAGCATCATCCGCCTCGGCATCAGCATCAGCATCATCATGATCAGCATCATCATCATCAACGACAACCGCATCATCAGCATCAGTATCATAATCATCATCATCATCATCAGCAACAGCATCATCACCATCAACCGCATCCGCATCATCATCATCGTCAGCATCAGCATCATCATCAGCACCACCATCAGTATCATCAACAACATCAACAGCAGCACCACCGTCAGCAGCATCGCCATCACCAGCATTAGCATCAGGATCAACAATGACAGCATCAGCACCATCATCATCATCATCATCATCATCATCATCATCATCATCATCATCATCATCATCATCATCATGGCCACCACCACCACCATCATCATCATCCGCATCAACATCTTCATCATCCTCCTCATCATCAGCAGCATCATCATCATCGTCAGCATCATCGGCATCATCAGCATGATCAGCATCATTAGCATCATCATCAACCACATCATCATCGCTCTCATCATCAGCATCGCCATCAGCATCGTCATCATCATCATCAACAGCATCATCATGATCAGCATCACCATCATCAGCATCATCACCAGCAGCATAATCTTCAACATCATCAGCATCAACGCCAACATCATCATCATCATCATCAGCCGTGTCTTCATCATAAGCATCATCATCACCAGCATGAGCATCAGCATCAACATGATCAACATCAGCATCATCACCATCATCCGCGTCCGCATCAGAATCACCATCAGCATAATCATCAGCATCGGTATCATCAGCATGATAAGCATCAGCATACATACGCCAGCATCGCCATCGTCAGCATCATCATCATCATACTCATGATAATCCTCACCATCAGCATCAGCATCATCAGCCCCATCATCATCATCATCATCATCATCATCATCATCATCATCATCATCATCATCATTAGCATCTTCCGCATCATCATCATCATCATCATCATCATCATCATCATCATCCAAATCAGCATCAACATCATCAGAAGCATCAGCATCACCATCCTCAGCAGCATCACCATCATTATCATGATCATCCTCAGCACCAACATCATCATCATCACAATCAGCATCGTCATCAGCATCGTCATCATCAGCATCATCACCATGGTCATCATCGTTATGATAATCAGCACCATCATCACCAGCAGCATCATCATCATCATCATCATCAGCAACATCATCAGCATCATCATCATCATCATCATCATCATCATCAGCGTCATCATTAGCATCAGCGTGTCATCATCAGCATCATCAGCAGCAACATCATTGTCATCAGCATCATCATCAGCATCAGCATCAGCATTATCAGCATCAGCACCATCATCATCATCATCATCATCATCAGCATCAGCATCATGATCGGCAGCATCGTCATCATCATCAACAGCAGCATCAGAGTCATCATCATCAGCATTATCATCATCACCATCATCATCACTAGCAGCATCATCTCGATCATCAGTATAGTACCACGCTTCATCCTCATCGACATTGCCACCATCGCCATCAGCATCATCATCATCATCATCATCATCACCACCATCACAAGCCTCATAATCGCCCTCCTCATATTCGCACCATCACCATCACCCTCACCATCATCACCATCATTGTCAGCAGCATCATCAGCATCGTCAGCATCAGCATCACCACCATAATCAACGTACTCATCACCAACATCATCACAATCTTCGTCATCGCCATCGCCATCGCCATCACCATCACCATTGTCATCATCGTCGTCGCCACCAGCAGCAGCATCACCACCATCCGTCCAACGTATATGCTCACAATGCGATGCGACTTGCAACTGGATTGCTGATGCTGCCGCCGCCGCCGCCAGCGTCAGTCCACTTCCTCGTTCTCCTCCGCCCTCCCCACAGGTAGGCGTGGGCGTAGATGCGGAAGAAGCGTTTACACAACTTGGAGCACAGCTGCTCGAAATCCTGAGAGCGCGGCAGGGCAACGGGTCTGGGAGTGGTGGGACTGGGCGCTGAAGAGGGGGTGCCACTCATAGATCCACCACCGTGCAGCTGGCCCTCAGGTCCCTTGTAATCTCCTCGGTCGACAGTCCTCAGCACTGAATACTAAAAAACCTGAACCCCAAATTCTCAAATTTCCCGGAATGCCTTGCGTGCCTCCCGTAGATCCCAGGTCCCGGGCGCTTCCCGTTTCGTGATGACTTGTTCGGAGCCACGAGTGCCCCAAAACGGGCCAAGAGGGCTCCAAGGCAGGCACGGTGGCGGCATGGGCCGAGGGCCAGCAGATCCGCCGCCCCCTGTGGTCTTGCCAGCGGGGTGCACGGCGTGCCAAACGTCAGGTATGTTGTGGTCCTTGTGACAATTTCTTCTGGGCCTTCGGCCCAAGCCGAGGGCCACTCGGAAGGACACAAAAGGAGGCGCAAGGACGCGCAACGCAAGGGCGAAACCAGCAGAACTAGCCTCCAAGACGGCCAAGATGGTTCCAAGATGGCCTCCAAGATGCCTCCAAGACATCCAAATCCGACCCAACTGAACCCAAAACTGATCCCAAAACGCCTCTAACACGGCCAAATATGCCCTCCAAGAAACCACAATCCTTGATCTCCCAACCTCGCATTTAAGCGTTCTCGCCTCTCGAGGCGCCCGACGCTCCAGGACGCCCCACGGGCCCCATGGGTTGCGGCAAGACGTCCAAATAGACCCCCCAAAGGCCTGCAAGACGTCCAAAAATTAGCCTGGCGAAGGACCCAACCATATGCAGTTGTGAATGCCGCAATTGTGCTGGGTGGTGGCGGACGCATGCGGGCGGTGCCACTGGGACCTTCGGTGGAGCTCCTTATGGGGCCACGAAACGTTGTACTCGGTGGGTGAGACGCGGTCAGCAAGGGCTGTGCTGGGTGGTGGCGGACGCATGCGAACGGTGCCACTGGGACCTTCGGTGGAGCTCCCTATGGGGCCACGAAACGCTGTACTGGGTGGGTGAAACGCAGGCAGGGAGCAAGGGCTGCGCAGGGTGGTGGCGGACGCATGCGGGCGGTGCCGCTGGGACCTTTGGTGGAGCTCCCTATAGGGCTACGAAGCGCTGTTCTGGGTGGGTGAAGCGCAGGGAACAAGGGCTGTGCTGGGTGGTGGCGGACGCAAGCGGGCAGTGCCACTGGGACCTTTGGTGGAGCCCCCTTTATGGGGCCACGAAACGTGCGAGGGGTGTGCCAGAATGGGGTGCGGAACCGCATGCCAGCGCAGCCACTGGGGCCTTCGGTGGAGCTCCCTATGGAACCACGAAGCGTGTGAGGGGTGTGCCGAAATGGGGGGCGGAACCGCATGCGAGCGCAGCCACTGCGGCGTTCGGTTGAGCTCCCTATGGGGCCACGAGACGTGTGAAAGGCGTGCCGAAAAAAAGGGGGCGGAACCGCATGCGAGCGCAGCCACTGGGGCCTTCGGTGGAGCTCTCTATGGGGCCACGAACCGTGTGAAGGGTGTAAAGAAATTTGGGGGGGGAACCACATGCGAGCGCAGCCGCTGGGGCGTTCGGTGGAGCTCCCCATGGAGCCACCCACGAAGCGTGTGAGGGGTGTGCCGAAATGGGGGGTGGAACCGCATGCGAGCGCAGCCACTGGAGCGTTCGGTGGAGCTCCCTATGGGGCCACGAAACGTGTGAGGGGTGTGCCAGAATGGGGGGTGGAACCGCATGCGGGCGCAGCCACTGGGGCCTTCGGTGGAGCTCCCTATGGGGCCACGAAACGTGTGAGGGGTGTGCCAGAATGGGGGGTGGAACCGCATGCGGGCGCAGCCACTGGGGCCTTCGGTGGAGCTCCCTATGGGGCCACGAAACGTGTGAGGGGTGTGCCAGAATGGGGGGTGGAACCGCATGCGGGCGCAGCCACTGGGGCCTTCGGTGGAGCTCCCTATGGGGCCACGAAACGTGTGAGGGGTGTGCCAGAATGGGGGGTGGAACCGCATGCGGGCGCAGCCACTGGGGCCTTCGGTGGAGCTCCCTATGGGGCCACGAAACGTGTGAGGGGTGTGCCAGAATGGGGGGTGGAACCGCATGCGGGCGCAGCCACTGGGGCCTTCGGTGGAGCTCCCTATGGGGCCACGAAACGTGTGAGGGGTGTGCCAGAATGGGGGGTGGAACCGCATGCGGGCGCAGCCACTGGGGCCTTCGGTGGAGCTCCCTATGGGGCCACGAAACGTGTGAGGGGTGTGCCAGAATGGGGGGTGGAACCGCATGCGGGCGCAGCCACTGGGGCCTTCGGTGGAGCTCCCTATGGGGCCACGAAACGTGTGAGGGGTGTGCCAGAATGGGGGGTGGAACCGCATGCGGGCGCAGCCACTGGGGCCTTCGGTGGAGCTCCCTATGGGGCCACGAAACGTGTGAGGGGTGTGCCGTGGAACCGCATGCGGGCGCAGCCACTGGGGCCTTCGGTGGAGCTCCCTATGGGGCCACGAAACGTGTGAGGGGTGTGCCAGAATGGGGGGTGGAACCGCATGCGGGCGCAGCCACTGGGGCCTTCGGTGGAGCTCCCTATGGGGCCACGAAACGTGTGAGGGGTGTGCCAGAATGGGGGGTGGAACCGCATGCGGGCGCAGGGGTGTGCCACATGGGGCCTTCGGTGGAGCTCCCTATGGGGCCACGAAACGTGTGAGGGGTGTGCCAGAATGGGGGGTGGAACCGCATGCGGGCGCAGCCACTGGGGCCTTCGGTGGAGCTCCCTATGGGGCCACGAAACGTGTGAGGGGTGTGCCAAAATGGGGGGTGGAACCGCATGCGGGCGCAGCCACTGGGGCCTTCGGTGGAGCTCCCTATGGGGCCACGAAACGTGTGAGGGGTGTGCCAGAATGGGTGTGGGAGGGGGAGGAGGGGGGAGGAAGGGGAGGAGGAGGAAGGAGGAGGAGGAACGCGGGGCGACGTCTCTTCAAAACGAAGACCCAACACCACAGGATGGTTGGGAAAAACCATAGGAAAGCCCAAGACCCTGATGGCGTCCGGGTGATGGCCGCGCACCCTCCGCGCACTGCTTTTTACACACAGGATGCCCGGGAAATCCCGGGAAACGACTCTCGCTGAGGCGCCGGCGTCATTTTTCCCCAAAATGCTGCTCTCGTTGAGGCGCCGGCCTCATTTCTGCTCCCGAATCGTTCCGAATCGTGCTCCCGCTGCAGCGTGGGCCTCATTTTCGGATCGGTGTTTGGCCTCCGTCGTCAGGATGGCGTTCTCGCCCCAGCGCGGGCCTTTTTCTCGCGCGCCCATCCGCCCGCCACCACCGCGCCGCACCGCCACCACCACCACCACCACCACCACCACCACCACCACCACAACCACAACCAGCACCAGCACCAGTACCAACACCACCACCACCAGCACCACCACCACCACCAGCACCACCACCACCACCACCACCACCACCACTACCACCACCACCACCACCACCACCACCACCACCACGACAACCACGCACACACGCACGCACGCACGCGCGTGCGCCACCACCCACTACGCACGCGCGCGCGGAGCCACAGGTCCGCTACGACACGCGTCCGCGGATAGAGAAAATCAGCGCCATGGTAAGGGGTTGGAGGGAGGGGTAGGACGTCAGATATGACGCGAGCGCACCTAGCTTGTCCTCCCCCTCCTCCTTCTCCTTCCCTTTTCTTCTTACAGCTCTGAAGACGAGCGTCTGGGGTGTCAACATCACACACAAGAGCCGCAGCCAACACTCGCCCGCAGGTGCCGTAAACAAAGCGTTCACCCGAAGGATCGAGTAGCACACGAAACAAGAAACCATGACGGGAGGCGCAACCCGCAAAACGCGGGAGTGCATACAGCCTTGATGGGAAGTGCAGCCCAGTTGACGCGGGGCGCAGAGGGAATGACGCATCGGGCATGAGAACGGATGCACTCGGCACATCAAGAGCCAAGAACACTCCTGAGCGACACGCTCACCGGTAGACGAGCTCAGGGCTCCTGGCGGCCATGTGGCAATACATCTTGTCGAAAGCGGTCTCGTCGCTGAATACAAGCCGGGGAAACGCGGCTTCCCCAGGCTGCCCTTCTCAAGCGGCAAGGTTGCACAAAAGCTGGAGCGCCTGGTCATTAGCACCTGGGTCCCGACGTTGGCATTCGAAGGCGGCCGTCTGGAACGCAACGCCAAGAGACTAAGTCGCGCGGGAGCCGACGCCTTGACGCGAACGCCCCACCATCATTCTTGAAGGACCAGCGGGAAACAATGTCTTTGTAGATGCTAAGTTAACGGGCGATGAACGGTATAAACTATGTTTTTCGCCGTCGGGGACACCTGCCCCAGCGCGGCTGGAAGTTGATACCCTTACGGTGGCACCGTAGGGGTATAAACGCCCCAGCCACCCAGGGGCAGGTGTCCCCGACGGCGGAAAGTTTATTTTATACCGTTCTTCGCTCGCTGACTAAGGGCACCTTCGCGCCCGTAGGGCACCTTCGCGCCCGTTTTAGCACTGGCCAAGCCCCAAGGCCGACGAGGCGCGCGGCCAGGCCCCGAACGAACGCACGCATCCCGCCGCGATGCCGAGGAACATCGGCCTTGCCGTGCCGCCGGGGCCTCTCCACATCAATCTTACTCTCTCCCTTGGCACGGGGTCCGCTCTCCACCGCCGCAGAGCACGAACCGGCCGCGCCAACTTCCACAGGCAGCTGCTCTCTGGACGACTGTCCCTTCTCGTGCGCAGGGGCTGACCCCATGGACTCGGCGTGCGCCCGGCGCTCGGGGCCCTCCCCCATCGCAGGGCGCATGGCCTGCGGAACAGCAGAGAGACCGTCGAAGCGGACCAGGAAGGGGCTTCGCGACAAAGCGGATCAGCGTATGCGGGACTCGCCTTTGGAGCTCTTGTGCCCGTGGTCCACGATGATGGCGCTACAAATGTTCACGATCTGGAATCAACTGATCATGAGGCTGTTCCGCATGGTCGGCTCCCAGACTGGTAACAGGCAAATCTGCATGATGAGCTTGACGTTGTGGCTGCACAGCTTGGCAGCGCCTTACCGGCCATTCGCCAGCTCCTGGATGATCCACTGGAACCTGACTGCAGAGACCATGGCGCGCACGAAAGCAAAGGTGGAAGCAGCGGCTCGCAAGTGCAAGCAGGTGGCCCCACCTCGGGCAGACGCCTGAGCCCCAGGGGGATCCTCCTCCTGCTCCTCGTCCTCCTCCTCCTCCTCTTCCTCCTCATTTCCCTCTCCTCCTCATCTTACTCTTTCCCCCGAAGGGGGTCCACAACGGCTGGGCCCAACGGCTGGCCGCGCGGGCACTTCCAAATGGCACGGGGGGTGCGCGGCGTGCCAGATGTTAAATCATTGCTGGCCTTTTCTATACAAGGTTCCCAATGGGCCTTCGGCCTGATGCACTGACCAACCGGAAGGACCCGTAAACAACCTGGTCCATCGGTTCCCTCACCCCGTGAGGACCCATAAACTACCCAGATCGTCGGCCTTCCCGCTCCAGACGGCCCCAAGATGGACTCCAAGGCACCAAAGACAGTCCGTAAACTTCCCAGGTCATCGGTCTGCCCGCTCCAAAAAGACCGAGATGGCTGGAGATGGCCTCCAATATCTCCAAGACACCAAACATGGCCCCAAGAGAGCCCAAGACGGCCGCAAGACATGTCTCTAAAACGGCCCAAGATGGCCCAAGATGGCCTCAAGATCGCTCAAGACGGCCAGAGCGGCCCCCAAGAGGACTCCGAGAGAGTCTCCAGGAAAGCCCGAAGAGACTTACTCCTTCTCTTCTTTACCCCCCACGCGCTCCCCGAAGCGTTTCCGCAACGGCTGGGCGAACTCCTGATCCAATCTGAGCTCTGTCCACGACGTTCGGCCACGTAGTCGTAGTCATTTCCACAAGGGAGGAGGCGGCAAAGACTCGCCGTAGGCGCTTTCGATCCGCTGCCCCCTGTTGGCTTGCCACAGGGGTACAGTCGGGGCCACGAAGAAGGAACCCTTTTCGTTGGGGAGGGGCTCCGTGTTCCTTAATTGTTTCGCAGCTTGCCTCAAGTTTTCCTTATGTTTTCGATGGGAAATCGAAGTTCAACTTATGGTAAAAAGGGGCATCGTTCCTTATGTGGGGTTCCTTAGGTCAACGCCCCGACTGTACACGGCGTGTCAAACGTGAGGCCTTTCTTGTTTCTTGTTGCTCAAATTCTCAGAAAGGGCCTTCGGCCGATCCCGCGGGCACCCGGAAGACCCGCAGGGATGCGCAGGGAGTACAAAAAACAGGAAGCTCGCCTCAACGACGGCCAAGATGGTTCCAAGATGGCCTCCAATTTGGCTCCAAGACGGCTAAGATGGTCCGAAAAGGGCCCAAGACGGTCCCAGACGCCTCCAGGGCGGCCAAGAATGCTCCAAGACGGCCCAAGGGATCTCAAAACGCCCCGAGATGGCCCCAGGATAGCTAAAGACGGCCAGAGAGGCCTCCAATTAAGAGGACTCCGAGAGAGCCTCCAGGAAAGCCGGAAGAGATCTACCCCTTACCTTCTTTACCCCCCGCGTGTTCCCCGAAGCGTTTCCACAACGGCTGGGCGAACTCATGACACATATAGCTCGGCTGAGCTCTGTCCAGAACGTTCGGCCACATAGGCGAAAGGGAGGAGGCGGCAGTGACTCGCCGTAAGCGTCTTCGATCCGCCACCTCCTGTTGGCCTCCTGTTTGCGTCTTCGATCTGGTCTCCGTGCTGCGTGGCTTTCTGATTCGGCGCAGAGAAAAAAGAAGAGGAGGAGGCGGAGGAGGAGGAGGAGAAGGAGGGGGATTAGAAAGAGCAAGAAGGAGAAGGATAATAACGATGAACTGCCCAGGTGTAGACGAATTACTCGCGACTGGATGATCACAAAGAGACTGCCAACAACTGGAAAGCCGCTGCTGAGACAAGTGAGTACAGCAATCTTTTCGAATGGACCAACGAGAGAAAAGGGGGAAGCGTGCGAAATACAGGTAGTGAACGAATGCGCGCACATTTGTACTTGACGCACCTCAGCATCCTCTACAAGCGAAATCTAACCCCTCTGCCACACTCTTCATGAACTTGATCCGATGTCGTCACCCTGTCGGCCTCATCCTCGACCTCCTCGTTCTACTCACCCAAAACCCAACCATTTCCCTTGGAACCCCTCCCGCTAGAGACTCTACTACCTGACTCTCCCGGTCAATCCGCCCCTCCTGCTATTATCGCTCTACCTCCCGGCCTCCTTCTCTAGGTCCTCTCCCTTTCATCTTGCTCCTCCTCCTCCTTCTCACCCATGTCATCGTCCTTCTCAATCCCTCCTCCTCTCCCTCCTCGTTCTCTCCCTCTCCTCCTCCCCGTGTGCCGTTGACTCCACCTACTTCCACCCCTACTCCTCCTGCCGCACTGCCGCTCGTTCCCCAGCATCCTCTGGGAAGGACGGGGTCATGTCCACCGGGAAGATTTCGGGGTCCGAGATGATATCGAACGCGTACGTGATCAACCTTCGTCTGGTTGGGATTCCGCCCGCCCCTCGCCCCCCAGGACCCCTTACGTCTCGACCCCCCTCTCTCTCTGGGACCCCCGTACGGAAGGCAGATCCGTGGCTGACCTGGATAAGGTTTGTAGTAGAGCTCCATGCTCGCGATGGTGCAGAACCAGCCCTGCAGTGAGTGCCCGAAAGCCCTGCGCCGAAACGGGGGCTTTCCTGGCCTGTGCCAGGTCCCCTCCGGCTTGCGGGCCGCAGCCCCCGACCCAGACCTGAGGGGAGAGCAAGACTGCGGCGGCCGCTCTCCAGACCGACTTCGCGCTGCCGGGGCGGCGAGCGCGTGCAAGGTCACGACGCAGTGCAAACAGGAGGAGGAGGAGGAGGAGTTCCAGGCTCTGCTCACACTGCTGCTGATCCCCATCGAGCGCAGAAGCTGCAGCATCCCAAACCACGAGCGGCACAGCTCAAGCAAGATCCTGGGACCTCTTGGGGTCCCTGTGGCTGACCTTCTCCCTGGAATTCAAGCGGGCACCCTGTGCACGAGTCCGGTCGGAATCGTGCACTTCAGTGCTTTCGTGTCCAGTTCAGGGCAAGCTGCGCGATAAACTCACGCCTGCTGGAGATGCAGGGGGGGCACGGTTACACACGGGGTGGCTCACCCACAAGAGCTGCCAGAGGTGAATCTGTACTGCCTCCTCTCTGATGGGTGCGCGTCCCCCCACCCTCCTGCACCATTAAGAGTATAATCTAACCTATCCCCATGGCCAGTGACATGGCCTTGGCCCCACTGACCGATTTCCCCCCTTCCAAAAAAACACATTTAAGCACGTACGCTGTTCCCGTCGGGCTTCGCGGGGACCATCCCCATCTTGGGGGGTGGTCTGGCGGGGCTAAGATATGATGACCCAACGATGCTGACATCAGTACCTTCCCAACGCCCAGGCCCCGTTAACCTCCCGGCCGCCAGCTGAATATGCAGCCGCTCCCTCCGCCGCTTGTCAGCACCTCACTGCCTCCTCCGCAGCCTCCGCTTCCTCGGCCTCCTCTCTTCCTCCTTGTCCTCTCCTCCTCCTCCTACTCCTCCTCCTCCTCCTCCTCCTCCTCCTCCTCCTCCTCCTCCTCCTCCTCCTCACCTCCTCCTCCTCCATTGCTCCCTCATGCTGCTCCTTCTTCTTCTTCTGCTTCCTCTTCATTCGCCTCCTCTTCCAAACTATGGCCCTCCTCCTCCTCCTCTTCCTCCTTATCCTCCTTCCCGCCCCTCCTCATCGTCATCCCTCCTGCCTCCCTCCTCCTCATTATCCTCCTCCTCCTCCTATTCCACTCTCCTGCCTGCTCCTCCTTCTCCATCATCCTCCCTCCTCATTTTCATCCACCTAATCCTCCTCCATCCCTCTTCATTACGATCAGCTCCTCCCTGTCGCACCACCAGTCGTGTCGTCGGGGCGCGCCCAGCGTTTCGCCTGAGACTTCCACATAGCCTACGGCATTGATGCTCTCAAAGTACCCAGCGGTTGCACGGATGGAAAGCCGTTTCTCTCAGATGATGCTCCTGTCCCGGCGCCGCATACCTTTGGGTCGCGGACCTGGCGCTCACGCAGATCGGGCGGGCAAGCACAGGGCCCAAATGCGCCGCGCACACTCGCTCACGCAGATCGGGCGGACAAGCACAGGGCCCAAATGCGCCGCGCCACTCGCCGTCCCCAAAAACGACAGTGCCGCGGATGGAGAGCTGGCGGTATTTCCGCAGCGGGCTCTCGCCCTGCCGCCGCCCTCGTTCGTCCTTTCAGAGTGGCCCCATGGGGACCCCGTGATATGTCAAACAGATCGTTCCCGTCTAGACCTGTGCAGCACTTGCGCGGATGGAGGCCAGCCTGCTCTCAGAATGGGGCCGTCGCCTCTGCCAGGAGGCCCCAGCATCGAATCGATAGATCGGATCGGCGATCGAGACAAATCGGATCGTGAGAAGTCGGCAGCCGAGTTGGGAGAAGTCGACTGAGCGGAAATCAGCAGGCCAGCAGGCCTCCACTGGGCAATCGGAGCCCACATCGGACTCCGAAACCGAATCGAACCGGCATCGGACACCGTCGAAATCGAACCGAATCGACCCGGAGGAATCGAAGCGAGCCCTGCCCGCGCAACCTTGCCGCAGGCCCTCTCCGGCTCCAAAAGCGTGGAGGGCACGCTACCTTCGGAGCGACGGTGGAACGACGAAATGTTGTAAGTTGTTCCTGGCCGCACGCGGCTGCACCTACCTTGCGACGCCACCTCGACGAAACGCCCCCGCCCCCTAGATTTCAATGTTGGCATCGAGCGTGCACCCCAAGCCCGGGAGGACACAGTATTGCAAGTCAGCATGGGAACACGGGGGGGAGTTCCTCGGAGATCGATGGGATGTGATCGAAGCTGGCACGCTGCTTCTCGGAACGATCAGGTCACTTGCGATAGGTTGCCCGCCCACTGGAGCTCTCACCACCGGACACCTCGGCGGGCCCGCGGGGCGCTGGCCTGTCGCGCAGGGAGCAGAGGCTGCGGGCGGGAGTGGGGTGGGCAGCCGCGCAGAGGAGGAGGGGGAGGAGAAGGAGGAGAAGGAGGAGGAGGAGGCGGCGGAGGAGCACGTCCTCCCACAGGCGGCGGTTGGCAGAGGCACAGCCACATGTGCAGAAGTGCCCCAGAGATAGTCAGACATCGTCCACACATCGTCCCCCGGCCATGTCTGACTATGCTTGAAGATTCCTCCTGTAGAGGGACCGTGCCCGACTTCTTCGTAGGGGCTGGTGAAGGGAGGGGGGCTTGGGACAGGAGGGCGTCCTGCAGCATCGCTGAGATTGCTTGGGTTTACTCTGGACCTCCTCGACCTCCCCTTCCTCCCTCTCCTCCTCCTTCTCCTCCTCTTCCTCCTCCTCCTCCTCTTCCTCCTCCTTCTCCTCCCCCGACGACGACGACGACGACGACGACGACGACGACGACGACGACGACGACGACGACGACGAGGGGGGGCCCGGAGGCAGCAACGTTCCAAGAGCACGCGGCGAACAACGGCGGGAACCGTGCAGGCGAGACACGCGACGCCCACATTCCAGAGGAGGAAGGCAGCAGCCCAGACCGTCACCGTCGCTCACACTTTCTGCGCATGTTTGCCCCTTTTGGGACCTCCTGGGGCACCCTCCTGGCCACTGCTGGATGCGCCTCGGAACTCTGACCACAACGCACCCCAGGATAGGTGCGAGGAGCGATTTGTACCCCAAGACCCACACCTCTGGCGCCACGAAAACAACACGACGGCCAGTTCTTCAGGTTTGAGCCTCTGGAGGCCAGTTCCAGTCCCAGGGGCACAACCTGGGATGAAACAAGCGGTCCGCTGTGATTGGGTCGAGAGGTCCTGCGGGCCACATCACTGAAAAATGACGACTGATGCCTGCGGCTATGCGGCGAAGGCCCATGAACAAACCGGCCTCCTCGGAAACTGCCCAGAGCGCGGCGGTAGCCAGATGCGGGCGAAGAAATGAAGATCCCCATCGCGCCCGTCCCTTGCCCTCCTGATTGGCATGCGGCTAGCTTGGCATTATGGCTCCTCGGTGTCAGAGACCTGGTCCGCTGTGCCGTCAGGGCCACCGCATCTGAACCCCCACTGATGGTAGCTCCAATAGCTCGGCCTGCCGCTGGCACGGTGCCAACGGCGAGTTGAAGCGTTTCAGAATGCCTGTTCGCCGCCTGCCCGACCCCCGATCATGCCTCCCACGTGTTGTTCCCGTCCCCGCCACGGCCCCTGGATGGGCCCCACGACGGCCCAGCGTGGCTCGATGACGTTTGCAAGATGCTCCCTTGAGCAGGGACCGACCGTCCCGGCATTCCTATAGTCCTACCACGGAATGTTCTCAGAACCCAACAATGTCCTAATAACAAAAACAGTGCTCTTAGAACATAGACCCGATGTGTTAAAACAAAACAACACCAACCAGACATGTTCTGAGAACATGTCGTGGAAACCACGAGAAAAGCTCTTAGAGAACAGCGCTTGGTAGGGCTATTTTGGCGAGCCAGGACGCCTCGCCACTGCTTGACTCCCGACGCCTGCTCTCGGACGGCCCAGGCCCGGGGTGGAGAGCCGCCCGGCCACCCCCATCTGGAGGTCTCCCGGCTCGGGTTCCAGCTCGCCCGAGAGGTCCAACGCACCAGACCTGAAGTCGGGCGTGTCCCCCTACAGGGGGATTTTCGACGAAAGATAAAAAATGCCCCAAAAATACTCCAAAATGGTGATAAAAAATGCCCCAGAATACTCCAAAAATACTCCAAAATAGTCCCCAGACTATTTTTGGACTATCTTTTGACCATGCTGGGGGTATTGCTGGGGGTATGTTTTATTTTTCGTCGAAAATCCCCCTGTAGGGGGACAGGCCCGACTTAAGTCTAACGCACCAAATTACCCGAGTGCGTAGTCCGATCCGCCACGGACAGCTGGCAGCATCCAGCGAGGCGAGGGCTCATTTGGATGGCCCAGAGCGACCGGACTCCCCGAGGACCAGGAAGCGTTGGCAACACCCAGGGAGTGCACGTCGGCGTGCCGCTGGATTTCTCAAGGGGGCAACGCAGTGGCGGCGCCCTCATGCTTGAATACGGCTCACCACACCCAGCGAGGCGAGGTCCCAGCTGGGCGCCAGCACATCAATGCTCCACTGGACTCTGGGGCACAGCCTGCTGCGCCTGCGCCTCGCTGAGAACCTGCGGGGCCTGGTGCAACAAACGAATGGATCACGCACGATGCGGGACTCTGAAGAGGGAGGCGAAGGATGCGTGCCCCGCACGAGGGAGGAGAGAGGCAAGGACCGCTCGTCCCATCGCCCTCTCCGTCCTCCCCGTTGCCCCTCTTCGCCCAGCGTCCTCCTCCTCATCCCTCGTTGCCCACCGCCTGGTCAGTCGACCCGTCCGCCTCCTCGTCGCCCTCGGGGATGGACAGACCCCCCTTTAGTAAAACGTGGCTTAGTGAAAGCGACCTGAGGCCCAAACCCGGCGGGCGCAGGCCTGGAAAATAACGGCCACGGCGCCCTCTCGAGAACCGAACACGGACAATTCACGAATCGACGTGTCCCTGTTGGGGGTCCTGTCCACCCCCGACTAACCCTGAAAGGTCGCTCGACCCCCCAATGGGGGGTAACTATTATTTTTCGGCGGACTTCCTGAAAAATCGGGGTTCAACAAATAGGCGGCACCCGCCGTGCAACAGCGACGACGACGAGGAGGACGAGGAGGACGAGGAGGAGGAAGAGCAGGAGGAGGAGGAGGAGGAGGAGGTTCTGTCTGCCACCCTCGCCGCCCCTCTTCGCTCCTCCCGAGACCGGCCTCTCCAGGTACTCCGGCGCGGACAGCATCACCGGCTGGGGCGGGGCAGGGCGCATGTGCGGGCGACGCGGGCGGGGTGGCGCGCCGGCGGGAGAGGTCAAACGTCGTGGTGGTGGTGGTCGTCGTCGTCGTCTTCGCCGGAGGTTGGGAAGGAAGAGGGGGGGGAGGAGGAGAAGGAGAAGGAGGAGGAGGAGGAGGAGGAGGAAGACTGGGAGGTGGAGCGCGGAGGTGGAGGAGAGAGGAGGGATCAAGGAGGAGGGAGGAAGGGGGAGCGGGGAGGGCTTTTGACTGTACTAAGCTCGTTGCAAGTAGCTTGAGCGCAGCGGCCAACAGGACTGGCACAGGCTGCACACGAGAGGCCCGAGAGCATGGACGCTGAGCTGCTTCCGCTCTCGTCCCGAAAACTGTCGGGAGAGAGGTATTGGCGCTGCGGGAGGGGAAGAGAGGAATCATATACGAGAGAGGAGGAGTTTGCAGCGCCGTGCGAAGAGAGACATCAGCGGGGCCCTGCTTCGTTGCCCATAGCAGGGCAGCCCTCGAGGCAGAGAGCAGCGCAGGGCTAGAAAAGAGTATCTGGCCTGGGAATGCCTACCCAAATTAAGTAGACCGTGAGGAGAGAGGAGGAGCTGGACGGAGGGCCAAAATGGCCGTGGGCGGTCGAACCGCCTTGTTGCTGCTGAGCAGCGCGCTGGGGGAGGGAGAGGGAGGGAGGAGGGAGGATGACAAGGAGGAGGAAGGAGGGGGGTCCACTGAAGATACCGCGGAGCTCTTGAGATGAGAGCTGCAAGCCTTGCCCTGTGTGACTGATGGCGGAAAAACTAAGTGCGAGTTGAGGGAAGAAACTGCTGGCCGTACGCTCGCGCCGTACTCTCCCGTGTGATCCGCCCCCTTAGGGGGCAGGCCCGTCTTTGAGGAGAGCACGGTCGCTGCCCAGAGTGCGCCACCATTGCATCGCACGTCGATGTTTGCATGCACTGCCTGAAGAAGCATCCCAAACTACAAGCGCGAGGTAAGATTGCCTGGGGAACGAGCGGGACTCTGAGGCCGCTGCTGACGCGGGGGTAGCAGCTGGCGCGCACCTCGGCGGGTGTCCCAGGTACTGTATTGTGAACCGGGCAAATGTATGGTGAAACGAGGGATGAACAATAGCAATGTGAAGCAATGACAACGTACGTGAGAAAAAGTGCAAAATCGCAAGCACTGCCTGGGAGGAGGGACCGGACAATCGGAGGCCAAGAGAGGAGGAGAGAGAGGACGAGCACATCGGGTCCCTCACGCCCGCCCACCCCGTTGAACGGGGTCGAGGGTACGCCCAGGGACCAGACGAACCCGCCCAGCAGCCTGAAAAAGGCCGGCTGCTAGGTGGAGGGGGGCCAATCAACTTTTGTCAGGTGAACAAGCGGCTCGGAGTAGGCTGCGCATGAACACCCCAGACATGGCCCCCCCCCCCCTCAAAAAGAGCGAAGCGTCAGTCTCCAGGGCCGCCTCGAGCAAGCAGTGCCCTGGCAGGGTGCACGAGGCCTCGAGTCTCGAGGAGCACCGCTGCAAGCACTTGCGCGCTGTGGCCTGCAGCTTCAGGCCGGTTGGCGAGGTTGCGCAGCGCGGGACTGTAGCCGCGCTGCCGCGCGACCGTGACTGCGTCAAGAGGCGGCGCCTGCCGGGCGGCCGCTACGACGGGGCGAAAAAGCCCAGAAGACTGGCCAGGAAGAAGACTGGAGGTGACGCGTGCGTGGCCTGGAGCCACAGCAGGACTGTGGGGCAAAAAAGAGGGCGCCACAGCTTGAAGTGGAGCTCCTGCGGCTGGCTGAACTCCTGCTGCGTGTACTCCTGCGGCGGCAGGGGGCCGGGCTGGTACATCTGCTGGTACTCCTGCTGCTGGTACTCCTGCGGCTGCAGGGGACCGGATTGGCTGCACCCCTGCTGCAAGAACTCCGCCTGCTGGTACACCCGCTGCTGGTACTCCTGCAGCGGCAGGGGACCGGACTGAAACTCCTCCAGCTGGAACTCCTGCTTCTGGAACTCCTGCGGCTGCAGGGGATCGGACTGGCTGCATTTCTGCTGCAAGAACTCCGCCTGTTGGTACGCCAGCTGCAGATACTCCAGCGGCGGCAGGGGACCGGTCTGGCTGTACACCTGCTGCTGGTACCCCTCCTGCGGGCACTCCCGCTGCTGGTACTCCTGAGGCTGGAACTCCTGCGGTTGGCTGGGCAAAAACTTGTTGGAGCGCCTGAAGCTGACCAGAACTCCGGACGCTGGCTGGCTCCGCCCGCGGTGGACGAAGGGCTGTGGCCAGCGCCGCCCCCAGCCGGGAGGGACAACCTCCACGATGCCGCCCGAGCTCGTCGAAGCAGCGAAGGAGCACCTGCACGGCTCGGCCTTCGGCCCGCAGGCGTTGGGCACGTCGCTCCGGTGCCGCACGCCGTGGGCGCGGGGCCGCCCGCCAGGGAGGCACGGACATGGCGCGGGCTGAGTGGAAGGGGAAGGGGGCGAAGAGGGGGAGGGCAAAGGCGGGGGGCCTCCTGGCTTGGGCTCGCGACCTCCGGCGGAGGCGATCTGAGCCCGGGCTGAGCGGGGAGGGAGCGAGGAGGGAGGGAAGGGGGACGAAGGCACGGAAGGACGAGGGAGAGACGAGGTGGAAGGAGGGTGGGGGGGGGGGGGAAGAAGGGAAGAGAACGGAGACACACGAGGAAGAAGGAGGGAGGGAGGCGGCAGAAATGAGCCGGACGCCTGTGAGAGGAGAGAGAGAGAGAGATACGCAGGCACTGTGCGGGGATGGCCCCGTGGGCGCGCTCCCCTCGGAGAGAGCCTTTTTGGGCAGTCTGGTGATGCCAGCGACTGGGCGTCGCCCATGGGGGAGCGATAGCTAAGATGCCGACGGCGTACGCGCTGGCCGCCAGCGGGGCGCGCTGCAGTGGATACGCGAGCGCTCACGCGCCATCTTGCGCGGGCAGCTTACGCGCGAACGTCGGGGCCAAAGCTGGCCCTCCTGAGCCTGGGGGCCCTGGGTGAGGAGGAGGAGGAGGAGGAGGAACTCGAACTGGAACTGGAAACAGCGACATGACAACGTCAAGAGGAAGGAGAGGAGCAAGAGGAGGAGGATGAGGCACAGCGTTGTCAAAGGAGGGGGAGGAGGAGGAGGAGGAGAAGGAGGAGGAGGAGGAGGCGGAGGAGGAGGATGTGGAGGAGGAGGATGTGGAGGAGGAGGAGGAGGAGGAGGACGAAGGGGTGGGAGGAGGGAGAAGGACGGAGGAGGGGGAGGGGGGAACAGGGGAGGAAGGAGGAGGAGGAGGAGGAGGAAAAGCAAAGGGGCGGGTCGCGCGTAAGGACCTACGCCGGGCGCCCACGGGCACAAAACAACGGCCCGCTGAGCCGCCGCAGACAGCGCAGCGTCCGGCGCCCGGTCCCTACCAGGCGGCGCGAACGCAGACGGGGCAGCGCACGGTGCTGCGCACACGTGCGCGCACCACTGAGCGCCCGCGGGCTGCTGGAGCGGTCGGCTGGCCGTACATGCTGCCGGTGTCCACTGCGCGTCGTTGCAAAACGAATACGAAACTGGATGCGGGATGCGATCCGCGGCGAACTGAACCGGTCGTATGTGGGCGAGGCACGAGGTGAGCCCCCCGCGCTCTCGAATCACAGGAAAAAAGCGTGCACCGCATGATACCACAGGACGTCGCGTGCGAACAGGCAACCGGGGGCTGCTCTTTTTCCGCAGCAGTGCAACAACAGAAGGTTAACAATATGTGGGACGCGCAGACTCATATTGCAGACGCACGTGTTACGACCGCTCTCAAGCCAAAACCGTGATCGCCCATGTTAGGACCAGACCGAGGCGGCAGGCGCGCGCGCGCGAGCGGACGCATCCCCTCGCGCACGGGTGATCGCTGCGCGGCTTTGGTCATACACCGCTCGTCCCGAAGTGGTCGCCTCCTCTGGTGCCTCTCTACGGGAGTGGCCGATTCAGCCCGCCAAACAAAGCATCGTCCCGTCATCGTCCTCACGATTATCCTCCTGCTCCTGCTCCTCCACATCTCTTGCTCTGCCGTACCCGTAAGGTCGAACGGTCTACTTCCTTAGGCTGTCAAGGTGTACTTCCCCAGGAGAGCAATGCGACGCAATCGAATCGCTCAGAGCAGACTCTGATGCGGTAGGTTCGGCCCCAATGCTGATCGACACAGTGGCAGCAAAACGCCCAGCTCAGCTACAGTCTAATTGTCCCCCTCGTTCTGCTGTACCCCTCATACTCCTCCTCCTCCTCCTCCTAATTCTCGCCAGTGCCATCATTCTCCTCCCATGTGAGGGGAAGGTTGGCCGAACGGCCGATCCCTTCCCGAATATCCGTCGGTAAAGGCGGTAACGATGAATGATGGACAATGATTGAGGTCTTACACTGCTCCACGGTCCAAGAATCAGCGTGTGTATGCCGATAGGCACGCCAGTACCTGCGAGCTGGAAGGGGCAGCGCGTACAGTAAAGGCGAGGAGGGGTAGAGGGTTCATTTGCACCGCCGTCCCTCATCCATCCTCCTTCCCCTCGGGAAACAGCAAGATACCGAAACGTACCACTACTACCGAGACCTCTCCAAAGAGGCGCGTCCCGAGCAGATCACGTCGAAAAACAAAGCCGGCCGGGGCGACGACGCCCCCCCCCATGGGAGGCCCAGCAGCAAGGGAAGCGGTACAGGTACGGTAGGCTCGTCCGGCGTCGGCGCGCGCAAAGCAAAGGTTTTTGACACCGCGTCGATCGTTTACGACGGCTGCCAGGGCGGCAGCCAAGAAGGCAGACAGCCGAACACAAGCAGCCAACAGAAGGCAGCCGAAAAGGCAGCCGAGAGGGCAGCCAAGGACGGCAACAGATGAGACGCACAAAGACATACTAGTACTATCTGCCCTCCTTGGAGGCGTGCGTCCGACCCGAACATACGGTAGATTCGCGCGGCGTCGGCGCGCGCCATAATTTTGACCCCGTGTTGACCGTTCAGCCTTGAACCGATCGCGCCCCGATCGTTCAAGGCTGAATTCCGTCGGGTCCTGCAGCGGTACCGTGTCCCTCGGTGCTTCCGCGTCGCTCCGTCATGCGGAGTTCAGCCTTGAACGCCTTCGCCGGCGTCGCCGGCGCGCCATCGCCGCATGCCGCATGAACCTACCGTACACCCTGCGAAATGCTTAAGAAATCATGGGTGAAGAAATTCATAGTCTCAGACCTTGAATAAAAAACCCAACATTTCTATTAAAATCTTAGGAATTACATTGAAACATTAAGAATAATCGAGACTCTGGTCGAAAACTGAAGTTTTCTTAAGCATCGCCTAAGGTGTACCTCTCCCTCCTCGGATCCTCCTCCCCCCTTCCCCCCTTCGGCTTCACGCAACAGTGACCCTGGGCAAGAGTGACTTCCGGGGCGTGGCTTCAGGGGGGGGGGGGCGCGGGTGAACCAAGCAGCCGCGCGCAAAAGCGGCTGCCGTCGCATCGCATATGCCACGACCTGGAGGCCCCACCGGGCCCTCACCACAAAGGTCACTCCGGCGAAGGGTCACGCGCCGACCCCTCATCTCGCGAGCCTCCGCCTCCCGCCCCAGACATCTGGCTGCTCCAGTTCTTTCAAGGGGGCGTAAGACCCGGGTACAGGGGACTCGGAAATCCCCGACGAGGTCGTCAAAAAAAATGACGAGGCCGAGCCTGCATTTTGACGAGGCCTCCCGCTGCAGACATCCCACGAAACTCCTACTCGTCAAAATCCGAGTCGCGGTCGTCAAAAAACGATGGCGAACCCGAGTCCTGGCAAACCCGGGTCTTACGCTCCCCCGATTCTTGTGGATGCGATGCGTGGGCGGCCAGGGGTCTGGACCGACTCCCGGAGGCCGGGGCTTTGCGCCCCGAGTCGTGTTTCTGTCGACGGCCCCGAGGCCCGGCGAGGGCCCCCAAGGGCCGAAACGGCAAAAACGGCCCAAAACACCTGCCTTCCCGTCGGCGGCGAGGCAGCATGGCTGCACCAGCGACAGAGCTCAACGGGGACACCGAGAAGCGGATTTCGGGTCGGGCGAGAAAGGGGGGAAGATAGCAAAGGGGGGGGGGGAGAATCAGCCCACGTGGCCGATTTCCCCGGCGCCTCCCGGCGCCGGAGGCGGCCATGTATCGAGGAATGGGCCCCTCGGTGAAGGCGAAACCAGCTGCATGCAGCAAATTTCGACCCCCCCCTTTCCCAACCCCCCCCTTGCGTCCGGCGCCCGAGAATTGTCCGAGACGGAGACAGGCGGGGCGGCCGCGGAGGCGGAGGGAGGAGGGGGCACTCCGGGGCGGAAGACTCCCGGCCCGAGGCCAAAAACGGCCGCATACCCGCCGCTCCAACTCCCCGGACCCCCGACGCCGTGCTACTCCCAGCGTCGACCCCCGGCGGTCTGGGCCCCTTCCCCGAGACCCGTCTTTCATCCTGGGTCGTGTCTGTTGCCGGCCCCGAGGCCTGGGAAAGGAGGGCGCCCGGAGGCCAGAGATGAAGGAGAACCTCCCGACATGATTTTTTAGGGGGCCACATGCGAACCCTACCCCCACCCTCCCCCTCAGGAATCGTGGGGGGTAGGGGTAGGGTTCGCATGTGGCCCCCTATTTCTTCACGACGCGAGGGGGTCTGGGTTTTTTTGGAGCGTGGGGTCTCTGCCGGGCCAGCCGCGGCCCGGCCCGTCCTTGGGGTGCGCCTCGTCCGACCAGGCGTACTGCACGCAGGGGCCGGCGCACATCATGGGGCACGAGCTATATGGCGCGGGCGCGGCGCGGGGGTCGGGGCGGCGGCGCGCGGGAGAGAGAGAGAGAGAGAAGCTCAGACCTCCTCGCGCGGTGAAGAGATCGCGACGGGAGGTTTCTCGCTAATTATCTTCGGCCTCCCGGGGCCCTTTCCCTGGGCCTCGGGGCCGTCCAAAAACGACGCGGGACGAAGAACCAGTCATGGGGAATAGGGGAACAAAAAGTGACAAACATAAAAACGGAGGTCCGCGCGGATTTCTCGGATCGGCGCTGGACCCTCCTCCCTGGCGCGCGGAGCGCGCCAGGGGCGGCGCCAGAGGCGCCGCCGGGGGGCCCCAGCGCCGATCGGAGAAACCCGCGCGGACCTCAGAGTTTTTATGTTTATGCCACTTTTGTTCCCCTAGGGAAGGGGTCCAGACCTCTGGGGGTCGACGTTGTGAAGCAGTCACGACGTCGGGAGTCTTGGAAGAGAGAGAAAGAGAGATGCGGCGGATGCTCTTCTGCGCAAGGGGCCTGGCCCCTCCTGCCAGCGCGGTGCGTTTTTCTCCCCCGTGCCGGCCAGAGCCCCGCAGAGCTCCCCGGGAGGGCATCCCCCCCTCCCCCCCACCAGAAACAAACCTGGCCAGCCCCCAGGTACATGCACAAACCTGGCCAGCCCCCAGGTACATGCATCCTCGATCGCCGACGTCGACGTCGGCGACGACGACGACGACGACGAAGACATAGGTTGGCGCACGCAGCCAAGGAAAGAGCAGCCTCACAATGCAGTGATTCCGATGGCGCGAACTGGGTTCCTTCTGAAAGGGGGGGGAGGGAGGGTGCAGGTCGCTCAGTACGAGGGGGGCAAAAAACAGTAGAGGAGGAGGAAGAAGAGGAGGGACGAGGGAAGAGGGACGAGGGACGAGATACGAGAGGCGAGGGACGAGGAGGGAGGAGCAGGGAGGGGAGGGAGGGAAGGAGGGAAGGATGAAGGAGGATACGGAGGAGGAGCAACAGCAGAAGGATGGTGGAGGGAGGGAAGAGGAGGAGGCGAACGGGGGCTGGGAGGAGAGAGGCGGAGGGAGGAGGGACGAGGAAGGGGGGACGAGGGACGAGCGACGACGGGAGGCGGGGGAGGAGGCACGCACAACGACCAGCAGGACAGCTGGCGGGGAATGGCGCGCCGGGGAGGCAGCACCACGTCCAGGAGAGCGCGGGCGGGGAGGACGACGAGGAGGCGCGCTGGCTCTCGGAGGCTCCGCCGCAGCGGCGAGCGCGACGGGCCGCCTCGGCCCTCTCTTGCGCGCTGCCGCGGCCCTGGTGCCGCGCAGAGCTGCCGTGCGCGGGCGCGCTGTCGCCGAGGGGTGCGCCGCTGAGCAGCAGAGCTTGTGCTGGGCAGCAGCGGGCGCGGGACCCGTCACGGTCGGCCCAAAGGAGCAGCCGTCATGAGACTGCTTCGTAGCTGTCGTGAGCTAGCGTCGGCCGAGTAACTCACGTAGGGGGGGGGTGCCCACGAGGCCTTGAGCAGGACAAGAGGCAATACCGGTGCCACCAGGGGTGTGAAGAAAAGGCGAGGATCCCCAAAGAAAGGTGGAGAAGCAATACCAGGAGGCCCCCAAAGGTGGGCGCTTGTCAACGGTACCCCAGGGGCGCAACTCCACCAAGGACTGTGAGAAGCAGAGAAGAATCTGGCTCATGTATCCATTTTCCTTATACATGACTCTTCCCTGTCGCACCCCCAAACGTGTCGATAGGGCGGGTCGGGCGTTTCCCTTGAGACCTCCACACATCTATGATCTTGAAGCTTGAGACCTGCAACAACTTCACGGATAGAGGGCGGGTCGTTTCCAAAATGTGTTTCTCGTTTTCGCGCCGCACGCATTCGTCTTATGAATCTGGCGCGACCCCAATTAGAGGAAAGCTTCCTATTGTATGGGCGCAGTGCTTGGCATTGCTTGGCATTGCTTGGTATTGCTTAGCATTGCTTGCCATTGCTTGCCATGTCTTGCCATTGCTTGGAATTGCTTGGCATTGCTTGGCATTGCTTGGTATTGCTCAGCTTTGCTTGGCATTGCTTGCCATTGCGTGCCATTGCTTGGTATTGCTTGGCATTGCTTGGCATTACTTCGCATTGCTTGGCAATGCTTCTTGGTATTGCTTGGAACGGACGCAACAAGAATACGATGAAACCCAAGGAACCCGGGGAGCCCGGGGAACCCGAGAAACCTGGGGAACCGAGGGAACCCGGGGAATCCGGGAACCTGGGGAACTCGGGAAACCCAAAGAACCCGTGGAACTCGGGGAACCCGGGGAAGCCGACGAACCTGGGGAACCTGAGGAACCCACGGAAGCCAGGGAAACCCTGGAATCCTCCGAGGAACGGGCAAAATATCAACAGGGGGCAACGGTGGGGGGCCCGGGGAACCCGGGGAACCTCCGAGCAGCGGGCCAAGTAACCCCCCGAGGCACTAACTTTTAACCAACTAAGATCCCCTTAATCAAACCTAATTGGGGAAAAAGTTTACGTTTGAAGGATGGAAGGCGGTTGGCTTTCAAAATGTGGCTCTCGCGTTGGCACCGCGCCCATTCGTCTTAAAGTTCCCCATCGTTCCAACATCTGAGGGCGGCGCCTTTTTCAAAATGTGGCAGTCGCCTCAGCGCCGCGCGCATTCGTCAAGTTTGCGACAGCTTCAAGGATTCGTATGGTTAAAGTTCCAGGAGTAGCGGTCTGACGCGATTCAAGGTTGCTAGGACGCGACAGTCACCTTGATTCGCAGAGTTGAAATTCCAGGAGTGGTCTTCTGGCACGATTTAGTTTTCCCTGGGCACAACAGCAAAGTTGATCCGCGGCGTCGAAATCCAAGGAATGATGTGTTGGCACGGTGGGGGTTATCGGACGGTTGTCATCTGATATGCCAGTTCCCGCAATGAAAATAGTTATTTGTAATGACCTACGACGAGGAAGCATGGAGAGAACGTTTACTGCATCATCATTGATGCGTTTTGGTGTTACACTGGCCTTCTTCCCCCTCCTCATCATCATTCAGCTGCGCCTCCTCTTGTTCGTCCTGCACATCATCGTCAATAACACCATTCCCACCAGTACAATTCGCAGCATCACAATCAGGAGCATCATCGTCGATGTCATTACTTGTCAAAGGTGTCGTCGTCGCCATCATCGTGTTCACCTGTTCTTAAGCGATGGCACTCGTACTAACACGGCACATCATACAACATAAGATCCTGCTTAACACACCTCATAACCCCCTCTTCCTCGTCCTACTACTCGCCATCCCTCCCACGCCGCAAGATGAGGACCATCCGGGGAGCTGCCTCGGGGTTGGAAAAGTGTCTGTTTCTGACAACTCCCCCTGTCTGACAGGTCGGCATCGGAGTGAACTCTCACCAAATCCAACCAGCTCCATCGCTGCTGCAATGAACGGGGTGAGCAATTCATCCAACCTGGTCCATCCGAACCCTGCCTGCCCACCGTCCCACTAGCAGGGACGCCTGTTGGTGCACACGTCGGTCCCCTTGAGCAAGCAGGCCATGAGCTCTGCATCCTGTCGCCGAGAAGGGACGGGAAAAAACATAACCTCGTCGACGTCCCACCCAGCCCCCTGCCGGCTCATTCCATTCCCACAACATTCCACACTCCGTCGCCATAGCTCCCCACATTTCGTCCTACTCGTACCGTATCCAGCAAGCGAGCTGGTTGCAGAACGCCCCGAGGCGGCGGTCACGAAGTGCACCGTGCCAGGGCCACTATAGCGCGCAACGCATCGACGCGCAACGTGCGGAGCCCAACTCGCGGAGTGCACCTTACGGGGTGTACAGAACTGGGCGCCACCCTCAGGGTGCCACGGGCAGTACCGGACGGAGTGCGAACCGTCAGCTGCAACTTCAAGTGCGCTACCTGCGGGGCGGGACAACGTGGAGGCTGTCAAGGGGTCACGACTTTCAAGGGCACGTGGCGACCAGCTGGGAACAGTACCGACGGGGAGGAGAAGATCAGAGAAAGAGGGGAAAGGGGAAGTCTGAGGAAGAGGAGGAGGAGGAGGTCAGAGAGAAGGAGAATGTCAGAGGAGATGCGGATATCAGAAGAACAAAAAACAAAGCAAGGGGAAGTCGGGAACAGGGCCGGCCAAGGAGATGGACGACCACTTGGGCGCAGGACCAAGTCGGCGACGGCCAGGGACATGGCCGACGAAGACTGTTGACGAGAACCTAACAACAAACGCTGTCCAAAACCGACAGCGGCCGCTCTTGGGCAGGCGGCCTCTTGCTTCAAATGGGCAACATCCGCGGTGACACCGACAGCAAGCCCTGTTCAGAATAATTAGGGGAAAGAGGTCCTGAGGGAAACGGGTCCTGGACCCTGGGGCTTTCTCCCAGGACGAATTCTTCATCCTGAGTCGTTTTCTGACGGTCCCAAGGCTCGCGTAGCGCCCGAAAACCTGTTTCCCTCAGGACCCGTTTCCCCCATGGCGGCCTGTTCAAAGTTAGAAAAAAATGTTGCCCGTCGTCGTACCCATTATTTCCTTACCAAATTCGATCGCACCAACTCCTCCTTCCGATTCCGACGCCCGACCGGCCACGCGCACGGTCACGTGGTGGCGAGTGCCACCGGGTCGGCTCGAGTCCGCAGTCGCCCTGGAGGCGGTCAAAGGGAGGGCGACGCGCAAAAGTGACCCTGGGCAAGAGTGATCTCCGCCGCGCAACTTTCGGGGGGCGCTGGGGGGGCCAAACCCGAGCGCGCAAGCCGCTGCTATCACATCGCATCCGGCCATCTAAGGACCCCAGTGTCGGAGATCTACTGACCCTGGTCAATCCAAATCCGGATCAGTCGGGCTTTGCAGGATCATGCAGGGTCCTGCAAGAACCTGCAGGAAGCTGCGCGCCAACCCAGGTCAGAGCAACCCTAGCTCTGCAAGATCCGGCAAGATCCGGCGCCCTGGCTGACCCGCCTTTGCATGAGCCCCCGTCTCGAGTCTCCCGACGGCATGCCTTGGGCGTCGCTTCCTGGGGGGGCGAGGAATGGAGGGGGGGAGAACGGTGCACTTCTCGGGCCCGAAAGGCCCTTTCGGGCAGCCCTCGCTGTCCTCCCATGTATGGACGAAGACAAAGTCCCATAGACATGAACTGTTGGCGCTCCACGCGGATTGCTCGGATCTGCGCTGGACCGCGCGCCAGGGCCGGCGCCGGGGGCGGCCTGGAGCGCCAAGAGTTTATGTTCATGGCGTTCTTCCTTCTTCGAACTCATGACCCCCCAGAACGCGACGCCCAAGTGCCCGCACCAGAGGTCACTACGGTCGGACCCAGGCCAGAAGAACGCTCAACAAGAACACGAGACCCTTCGCCGACCAAAAACGCACAAAACATCCCCTCCCCCAGGATGCACGAGAGCATCCGACAAACACGACGAACGCCAGGGTACCCTCCCCGAGCCGACCTCGATCTGATGCCTCGGTCCGACTGTACGGCGAAAGGTCACTCTTCCATGTTGCCGACACAAGAGAAGGCAGCAGGCGCGCCTAGGCAGGCGCACCGACTTCCGGGGGGGTCCGCCGGGCCGCGGGGTGCAGGCGTGAGGCTCCACGGGAAAGCGCAGGCTGCCCGGGGTGGTAAGAACACGGCGCTGGGGTCAGCACGGGTGGGTCTGGAAGTGGCCCGAGCAAGGGGATGGGATGGTGAAAACGACCAGAGATGTATCCTTACCTTTCCTTTTATGTTCTCTTTCTCGATCTCTCTGTCTCTTTGTTTCTCTCTCTCTCTCTCTGTCTCTCTCTCTATTTTGATATGTGCATGCATATGTAGACATACATGTACATATGTATGTACATATGTAGTCAATGTCGTTCTCTCTCTCTCTCTCTCTCCCTCCATCTCTCTCTCTCTCTCTTTCTCCTTCTCTCTCTCTATCTCTCCATCTCTCTCTCTCTCTGTCTCCCCTCTCTCTCTCTCTTTCTCCCTCTCTCTCTTTCACTCAATCCCTCTCTCTCTCTCCCTCTCCCCACACCTCGGAGGTGACAGGAGGAAAAGGACACAATCAAACTCAAAGACAGAATTTGAGCCGCCCCAAAGAACCACAGGTTCAGACATTTCGGGGGGGGGGCACCTGTCGGAGGAGCAATGTTTCATGCTCAACCTCGGGTGCATGAAATTGCTTGGAACCGAGCAGTGCTGCCATTAGATGTGTCCTGCTGACGAGCTGACGACGCGCCTTGAAACTTGACAGATCGCAATGCCGGTTTCTGACGTCGGCACTCCTTGTAAATGTTCAGCATCTTCGCAGCGATCCACGTCGCCCTCGCCGTGGCTCGGGCTGTGGCAAAGGGCAAACGTGACAGAGAGAGAGTGGTGCAAGAGAGCATGATGGCGCAGCAGGATGATGAAGGGGCCCAGGGACACACTAATAAATGCACACACACATCCCAGGATTCCCCATACTTTCAGCTGCTTTCTGGGTAGTCGTCTGCCCCCACACCTCCCATAGTTTCCCATATCTTCCTGGGAATCGGCGGTTGACTGCGTCTGTGTGCCTCCCCTCCTGACGATGGCGCCGCAGGAGGCGGCTGGCGGAGCAGACAGGGGGGTGGAAACTGCGCGGGCGGCAGCAGCCCGGGGGACACGGCGTGTCGCGAGGAGCAGCGCGGCAACGAGCGAGGGCACCGCATCGCCGAGCCGCAGAAATCGGAGCGGACGCGGGCTGCTCCCCGCATCGGGCACGAACGCCTCCTCCTCCTCCTCCCCCCTCCTCCTCCTCCTCCTCCTCCTCCTCCTCCTCCTCCTCCTCCTCCTCCTCTTCCTCCTCCTCCTCCTCCTCCTCCTCCTCCTCCTCCTCCAGATCGGGCACGAACGGTAGAGGGAAACGATTACTGGACACTCCCCCTCCCCCCCCAAACTCAATGCTGGCACGCGCGGGGGAGACGGCGGTCGAAGTGCATCCCATCAGACCCACCGCAAACTCTGAACGGGAAGGGGAGGCGTGGACGGATGAATGTGGCATGTGTTCGCCAATTTGCTCCGAGGCCGGAACGGCACGTCGCAGGGGCCCTCTCCAGTGCACGTGGCGCTGCGGCGCGCACTCCGCGCACGGGGGCCCCGGCCCGCAGAGGGCAGCGGGGGGACGACGGGGGGGAGGCCGGAGAGGCCACAGAGAGGAAGGGGGACGACGAGGCGACCGCTTGACGAGCAGGGCCACCCCGACTGCCCATCCACGAGCCACGAGAGCGAGTGTGCGTCACCGAAGGAGAGAGGATGCGGCAAGATATCACCTCAACACACCCGGGGCCACAGCGTGAAACATAATACCGCCATCAACACAAGATCGCCGCACGAACCAAAGTCGCACGGGCGAACCCGCGTGAGGACCCAAGTCGTCATGAAGACAGATCCGCGGATGCGGGGACAGAAAGCGACCTCAACCACGTCGAGGATACACCCTGGGGGATGTCTTGCGGATGCCAAGGTTGTCGGAACACCGAAACCAGCTTCGTACTGGATGTGGTCGATGAGGCGTCCAAGGACGGTCAAATCGACCACAACCACAGCCCCAAAATGCTCATGTCGAGGTCGGTGGGTTCTCCCCCGAGGGGCCCTCCCGAACAATCCACCCAGTTGTGGTTGAGATTATTTGCTCGAGTAGGGGATCGACCACAGAACTGCTTCACCCCAGCATTTGTGTTTTTTTTTCCCGCCGGATCTACGAAACAATGCATAGACGCCTCCGCAGATCTGAGGAGCACAAGATTATTTTTTCGTGGACTTGACGGAAAGGTCAATCTTGGGGTAGATCAGCTCTGCGGTCGATCCCCCACTCGATTTTTTTCGGGGACATTCTGACCCGGGTCAATCCAGACCCGGGTCAGTCAAGCCTTGCAGAATCCTGCAAGATCCTGCAAGATCCTGCGCCCAAACCCGGGCCAATACGAGGGGTCCTGCAAGATCCTGCCGGATCCTGCACCCAAACCCGGGTCAATGCGACCCTGGCCCTGCAGGATCCTGCAAGATCTGGCGCCCTGGCTGACCCCTGTTTGCATTGACCCCCGTCTCAAGGCTCCCGATTTTTGTTCTGTGCCCGGACCCGTGGAGACACGTCAGCGGAGAGGCCCCCCCGCCTGGCCACGGCCGCAGGCACGCGGGCGGCGGGGCCCGCCTGTCGACGAGCGGCGGCAGCTTCACGGCCTCCCTCACGCAGCTCGTGCCCAGGGTGGCCTCTGCCGGGAAAGGGCTGCTCAGGCAGGAGGGAGAGGAGGCGGAGCCAGGTCGAGGACAAACTCGGGTGAGGACAAATCGAGAGCCTCGGAGATCTGGCGGCTCTGGAGGATGCCTCGGGCGCCGCGGCCTTCTCAGAGCGTTCTGGAACGCTCTGAGAGCGATCTGGAACGCTCTGGTAAAGATTGATCCTCGTCCTAGCCCCGTCCGAGCAGAGGAACATCGCGGCGGTTGTTGGACGTTTCTGGCCCTTCTTCTGGGGACCCTGGAGAGAATGAGGACCTCCGCAGACCTCCGAGCACACCTGGAGACCTCCAGAGGCTTCCAGACACCTCCAGAAGCCCCGTGAGGCTTCCGCGCTTACGGCGGGGTCGTGTCGCGATGGCGTCGGCGTTGGTGTCTGCCACCGGGCGGAGCAGCCGACCCACTGAAGGATCGCGACCTTCAAATCGCGCGGATCGTCCGACGTCAGCCGGTTCTGGGCGGAGTCACGTCGGGATGAGTTGGCGCTCGTTTCTGCCACCGCGCGGATCGCTTGACCCTGAACGATCGAGGCCTTCAGATAGTACCCATCAGTCGGACGAAGTAATTATAAACATGAAGTAAGAAGGCGTTGAAAAAAAATTGGGTGTCTGCCCGCCCCCTAAAGAGGACGGAAAAGGTGAAGCCACTCGATCACTGAAGTAGGAAAGCGCTTAAAGTAGATTAGAGTCTGGGAGCTCCAAAATACCTACTTTCAACGACCGATAGGTAATCCGACTGACTGTAAAAAGCCCTCAGGAGCCCGAACAACATTGCACAACTGGACGTTCACCCACGAAATCTGGGGCTTCTGGTAGAGATGGCAAAAAAATGCCATCTCCAGGAAACAAAGTGCCGGCACTGAGAAGAGAGAAAGCGGCAGATACATATATACATATATATACATATACATATAAACACCTATATATATATAGATGCAGAGAAAGTTCCAGCACTGGGAAATATGTGTATATATATATATATACACGTATCTCTATGTATATATATATGTGTATCGAGAAAGAGAGAGAGCGAGTGAAATAGAGAGAGGGAGAGAGAGAGAGAGAGCAAGAACTGAGCAAAGCGAAGAACGAGGAGTGATGAGTGATGCTCACATTGGGTTGAGCGTCAGGGACTCCTAAACGCATACGCGCATAATTGGTATGGGGAGAACGAGTGCAACTCTGAACACAGTAAGAGACCTGTACCGTTGCCTGTGCAGGATAGCCGTGCTACAGGCCGCGTAGGCATCCTCAGCTACAGAGGCGTCGATGCTGAGGGAAATCATATCGCACGCTTGCGGGCGATGGCAGTTGACACCATGCTTGCCATGTTGACACTGGTGTAGGTCTTACCCCAGCGGTGAGAGAGAGGGGGATATTGACATTGAGTATGTATATATACAAAAATATGCATAAACGTATGTGGGACATAATACATCAAAACAAAGAGAGACATACAATATGGAATTCGTGATTTCTAGCCAGAATACTATGTATTGCTGGAGTGCTCGTTGACGGCAGGAAGCTTGGGCAACACAGTCGTTGACATAGACTGACACACGCACATACCAACATCATGTCATGCTGATGGCAGGTGGTTATTACTCATCCCCTCCTGCTCTCGTTCAACCTAATTGATTGTCTACTTTATTGTGAATATCCCCTCTCCCTCCGCAACTATTCCACAAAGGGAGACTGCATGGCCTCTCTCTACCTCTCTCGATTTGTCAGCTCTTCCTCCGCGGAAGGACGCGGAAGGGCGGCGGAAGGCCGGCGGAAGTATAACGAGGCCGCCTCCGCCGGCGGAAGCCGGCGGAAGGGCGGCGGAAGGTGGCAGAAGTAAGAAGTGCGCCCCCAAGAGACGACACCAGTTTGGGGGTTCGGCCCAGACCCCCTCGCGTCGTCGAGCAAACACCACGGGATGCTTATTGGCAATGCTCTGCCTCTTGTGGCCCTTACCGTAAACACCTGCTCATGATGAAAAGCAGGTCCAGGGGAGGCGTCGAGACTCCTCCCTCCTCCTCCTCCGCCTCCTCCTCCTCCCTCCTCACACATTGTCGGGAACGTCTGCTCAGCGTCGCAGCGGCAGCCCCAGCGACTCCCGACGCCCACGCGCGAGCGGAGGGCGCGCCGCTCCGCTGCGCGGGGCGGCGGGCTCGGAAGAGCTCGGGGCGTCGACGGCCAGGGACCAGGGAGGAGGGAGGAGGAGGAGGAGGAGGAGGAGGAGGAGGAGGAGGAGGAGGAGGAGGAGGAGGAGGGGGAGGAGGAGGAGAAGAGGAGAAGAGGAGAAGAGGAGGAGGAGGAGGAGGAGGGAGGAGGAGGGAGGAGGAGGAGGAGGAGGAGGAGGAGGACCGGAAGCGGATAGCGTGTCCCGCCGAAGCGCGAAGGACCAGAACTGGCGGAGCGGCACGCTATCCAACCGTTCCCGACCGTAGCGTACACATCTCGATGCGAATAGCTCACTATTGGGGATCAGCGCTGGCAAGCATTTTGTCCACGTGTGTCCAAGGCGGCAAATTGTTACAACATCCGGACGCTCGGCGGCAGCACCCAGAAGCGCCCAGGCGCACATTGGGCGGGCATGTCCTTTGTCAGCGAGTGCCGCGGGTAATCCCGCGTGTGCGACTAGTGGCGAGGCATGGACAGCGCTGAGAGGGGGAAGAGCAGGAGGAGACCGCAGCTACTTCAGCCCATCCCAGACGAGCCCTCCCCCAATCGGCACCACCATCCCTGCCCTTCCGGGCCCCTATCATTGTCCTGGTCCTCCCTACGTTCCCCTTCCCATCCTCTACCTCCACCTTCTCCCCCTGCTCCTCATACACCTGCTCGTCCTCCTCCCTTTCGCCCTTCTCATGTGATTCCATGTTCCCCTTCCCCTCCACTCTCATCATGCGTATCCTCATCCTCAGTTTCTCCCTCCTCATTCTCCTCCTCCTCACCTCCCTATCCTCATTAGGCGTCATCACCCCTCTTTCTTCTCAACGGCCTCCTCATCCTCATCCTGCTGATCCGTTTCCAAATCCTCTGTCTGATCCTCCCTTTCCTATTATTCCTTCTCCGTTTTCCCCGTTCACCTTACCCTTCAGCCCTCCTTAACAACAACTCCCCATCCTCGCACCGTCGAAACGAAGGCACGGTGGTACAAGCGCCTTGCTTGATAACTGATCGCGCCAACGCTTGCAATGTCAGCGGGTTGTGCGGAGATAGCGCGGGTGGCTTGCAGACTTGCATCATCGCAGGAGGCACCCAAAGACAAAACGATGCAACACCCTGCAATTGCGGATAAGAATGAGGGGGCGGGCGCGGAGTTCGGTCGCGGGTGGATCTCGGGCGAGTCGCGGGTGGGTCGTGGGTGGGTCGCGGGCGGGTCGCGGGCGGGTCCCGGGGTGTATCGCGGGCGGGTCGCGCTTGAGTCGCGGGTGGGTCGCGGGGTGGGTCGCGGGTGGGTTGCGTGTGTATCGCGGGCGGGTCGCGCTTGAGTCGCGGGTGGGACGCGGGGTGGGTCGCGGGTGGGTTGCGTGTGGGTCGCGGGTGGGTCGCGCTTGAGTCGCGGGTGGGTCGCGGGGTGGGTCGCGGGTGGGTCGCGGGCGGGTCGCGGGCGGGTCGCGGGTGGGTCGCGGGCGGGTCGCGGGCGGGTCGCGCGGTGGGTCGCGGGTGGGTCGCGGGCGGGTCGCGGGCGTGTCGGGGAGTGGGTCTCGGGTGGGTCGCGAATGGGTCGCGGGTGGGTCGCGGGGTGGGTCGCGGGTTGGTCGCGGGTAGGTTGCGGGTGGGTCGCGGGTGGGTCGCGGGTGGGTCGCGGGTGGGTTGCGGGTGGGTCGCGGGTGGGTCGAAGGCCCGGTCGCGGGCGGAACGACGACAACAAACAACAACAACGACAACAACAGCAACAACAAAAACAACAACAACAACAACAACAACAACAACAACAACAACAACACCAACAACAACAACAACAAAAACAACAACAACAACAGCAACAGCAACAGGAACGGCAACAGCAGCAGCAACAGCAACATCAATAACAACAACAATCAGCTCAAGACCGTTCACTCTAATCGGCTCGCGTGCCATTCAACACGTATATGCCAAACCATCGATACCCGCCTTCTTCGTCTTCAATCGTACCCCGTTCGAACTGTGTGCATGTATGTATGTATGTATGTATGTATGTATGTATGTATGTATGTATGTATGTATGTATGTATGTATGTATGTGTGTGTATGTATGTGTGTGTTTATATATCTTACCTGCAACGTGTAGTTTGTGTAGCTCCTGAGGCAATGGACGAGAGGACGGTTGGAAGGAAGGAACAGGGGGGAAGGAGGAGGATGAAGCAAGAGAGAGAGGGAGAAGCAGGAGGGGGGCTAGGAGCAGAAAACACGTGGCAGAACCAGACGGGCAAATCGGGCGGGTAGACCCTAACGGACGGGTCGGGAAGGCGGGCCCAGGCGGCCTGGTCGAGCAGGCGGCTTGCTGACGCGTGCGTCCTGCATGAATCGCGAGGAAGTCTCGAGCGATAGCGCGATTCCCAAATAAATCGCGGGGAGCTCCAAAGTGAGAGCGTGATTCCTGAGTGTAAAGGGCGCTGCGTCTGAATGAATTGCGAGGAGTCCCACGCGAGAGCGCGATTCCTGCATAATGTATGACGAAATCCACCGCGAGAGCGCGATTTGGGAATACATTATGAAGAAGGAGTATCAGGCGGGAGCCGCTGTTGTAACCCGGGGGCCAACAACAGAAATCTGCGACCCAGTACTTTCGCTGATTCAATCAATGTGCGAGCCTCGGGCAGGGCGCTTCAATTGAAAAGCACCATGTGCCCCAGAGGGGGGGTCAGCAATAATCGTTCTTCAAAAATGTAAAATCAACAACAACAACAACAACAACAACAACAACAACAACAACAACAACAGCAGCAGCAGCAACAACAACAACAACAACAACAACAACAACAACAACACAGCAGCAATAGCAAC